CCCCTGATGTCCTCTCACGTCAAAATCCATTTGATTTGTTTTGAACTGTTTTAGATTGTCATATGGTGTTTGATCTGTGCATAGTTCTCTCCTGATTCAGATGATAAAAAAAATCATCTGAAAAGCAAAGAAAGCAATTTTATGTAGAGAGGACCTATTTTAGCTGGAAGCAATGGTTTGAAGTTAAAAATGTCTTAAGGATGGATTTGTTTATTACAAACATGCAAAAACACCCCAAACTTATCCAACCTTTAAATGGATAGTTCACCCAAAAATTACAATTCTTTAATTATTCACTTACTCTTATGTTGTTCCAAACCTGTTTGACTTTTTTCCCCTTCTCTGCAACATAAAAGAGCATATTTTGAGAAAAGTCTTGGGTTTTTTTTTTGTGTGACAAACAATAGAAATCAATGGTAGCCAAAATAGTTTGGATACCAACATTCTTCTTCAAAATATCTTCTTTAGCATTCCACAGAAGAAAGTCAGTCATGCAGGTTTGGAATGCCATGAAGGTACATAAATGATGATAGAGATTTTATTTATTTATTGTATTTTTTTGGTGATCTCTTTAACAGTTGCATTCAGTTAAAAAAAAATAGTATCAGTTTGCATCCTGCACATTAAAGTTTATGTAAGGCAATGGAAGACATCTTAGATGACTTACTTGATCACAAGAATAAATTCTGAAGTGTTATGCAGATTTTTAATTAGATCATTCCAAATGAAGACTGCAGGCAGGGGATGCTTTTGAAATTGATAAAACCTCTGCTCGGTTTCACTGCTAAATGCTTTGGTGTGTTAGACCTCTTCGTTTAGTTAAATGAAATCATGAGCCATTCAATTAAATGCAAACAAGTGAATAAATTGACAAATAAATAAATAATCTGATTGTACCAATGGCCAGAGTGTTTTTCCTCTGTGTGTATGTGAGTTTGTGTTTAAGTGGGGGAATGTGTTGCAGCTTAATGGATCTAATTTCACTTCCCACACTCCCTGCAGTTGTCGGAAGATTTGATTTCACTGAATACACATTCTGCATTTCTCCCGCGGATTTATTTTTACTGTAGACACACACATGCACGCACACACACCCACCATATGCTGGTGAATGATTAAAAATGCCTGACCCCGACAACATGATGGCCCAGAGCAGTTTAACATCAGCAGGTTATCCTGACCACTTGCTGCAAAACCTGGCATGACCAAGCTTTCTTTAGATCTCCTTAATGCATTTCACACTTGCTATAAAGCAAATGTATGATCTGTGATCAGATCTGTGGAGCACATGCTGTATGCATACTTGGCTTAGTACAGTGATACTGCCACTGTATGAATTGCATGATGGGTAGGTTTTCTGAGGACCCATCACAGTCATACTGTACGGGTTAAAATATCTGGGCTGGTAACCAAAAGGTTGCAGGTTTGAACCCCATAATAGTTAGTGCATTTATTTATGCACTAATAATAATTATTATTTTATTTTATTTTTTATTCTTTATTTTATTTTATTTTATTTTATTTTATTATTTTATTTTAATTTTTTGCAGTGGTTAAGAGCTCACTAAAGGGGAAGAATATTGTATATATGTGACCCTGGACCACAAAACCAGTCTTAAGTCGCTTGGGTATATTTGTAGCGATAGCCAAAAAAAACATTGTATGGGTCAAAATTATCGACTTTTCTTTTATGCCAAAAATCATTAGGATATTAAGTAAAGATCATGTTCCATGAAGATATTTTGTAAATTTCC